CCACTCTTCTTACGACTTTCAAGCTGCTGTTTAGTCACAGTCCCCTATTCAGTTGAGGTGCTGGTTTCGGGACCTGTTCAGCAAAGCAAAGTTCAGGTCCCGAGTGCGTAGGACCGTAAAAGCTTTCTGCGGGTCCCCATGCGTAGACTTGTCATCGAGACCGACTGGCAAAGTTAGTAAAGCGTGAGCCAGATCTCCTAACCTGCTGAAGCCTTGAAGTCACATCGTTAATCCTAGTATAATAAGATACTATACTATATTGTAATATACTATAGATACACTATTATATGAACACCCAAAGTCATCTGCTAAATCTTCGACTCGGAGGCTGATGTCTGGTAATCCTGAGACCATCCTGAAATTGGTAGGTGTCATGGGCCGAGGGGTTAGGAGTTTGGGATAGGTTTTGGGGCGGAAGGCTGCTGTTTTCAGATCTTCGCCATGTATCCGAAATCCTTCAAGCCTTGAAGCTGAATCCAACATGTTGACGCCTAACATCGTAATTCCAATCCTCAAGCCGTGGATGCAGATCCCACTATATGACACCCATGCAGTAGTATACATTACTTTGTTGTTTTGTAGTCCAGCCCAGCTCCTCTTTGTTGTGCGACGAAAACTCCTTTGATTTCACATTCGACCTCCACTGTATTCTGCGGGCGGTTCTCTTCTCTTTTAACATCCAGTATTTTGTTGGAGTCTACTTCGTTGTCTGGTGTGCTTCGCAGCTCAGATCATGCATTCGCCCTGCAGGAACCTGCTGCCGCAGAGGTCCGGGCCGGCGCGGACGGCTCCGCCGCCTTCGTCCACTCGGCGATGTTTCAGGTTTTTGTTGTCTGTTGATGGTTGAGGTGTAAACCCGGCTTCCCAACTCTACTCTGGGCTTGTGACTCACTTTGTTTTGAGAAGGCGTCCTTCCCAGATTCCAGCTGAAATGAACAGGCTGCGGGTGCCTCGGAGCCACGTGCAGTGCCGACGGCGAGGGGCAAGTCTGCCCCCCGGAGTTGCGCAGGTCGTCTTCGTGGAACCTCGTTATTCATACTGGCAGAGTCTGAAAGGAGCGTGTCAGCCTGTTCGCTGTTTCCATTGCGGAGGCCGAAAGCTTTTATCTACAAAGCTGCCCCGGATGCCGCGAAGCTGGTTCCCGAGGTGATTGTACCGCCTTGTTGCCTGAGCTTTGCTCCGAAAGCAGGCTTTTGGCGAAAGCACGATGTATGCTGTATGTAGCTGCACCGAACAATTGCGTTTACGATACACACGGGTTTGTTCTAAGGACTCCATTCTTGTGGCCTGGGTTTGGTCTACACTTGCAATGATCGCCAGATCACGAGATGCAGGAAGCTTGTGAGAACACCTCGGCATCCTAACCCACAGCCTGTGACAGCGCAGTAGGCGGCTGTGTAGTCGAGTTGCGGCAGCATAAACGTCTTGATTCAAGGTTGTGGAGCTTTTTCGACAGCTTGGAATTGTGTGAGTTCTTGCTCGACCGAAGCAGAGAAGAGTTCGATTCCACGGAGCACTCGGCATTGTCAGGCCGTGTAAGAAGGGCCCAGGAATCCCCTACAAGGCGGGTGGAATAGTGATCAAACCGAGTCCTGAAGACCCTCTCCACCTTTCAGAAATCTGCTTTAACAGGTATTTGTGACAAGCACCTCAAGCTGCAAACTTCCGAGCTTCCAGCTCTGCTCCCGTGTCCTGAGGCACCCGCCCAAGAAAAAGAAGTGGAGCCTCGCCCCAGGCGCGACCAGTCAGGTTTGGGGCTGCTGTTGGGTAGGGTCACAAGGTACTGACTCGTCAATGTTAAGGAATTAATATAGGGGCCTTAATTATTCTAACTATTAAGGCCCCTACATATCAAACCCCTAGTCCTCCCCGCAGAACCACCTCAACACCCCCCCCGCCTCACCCTACACCCTGAACATCAAGCCCCGAGCTTCATCAGCCTCGAGCGCAGGCCAGCAGCGGACGCGCATCGCTGGCCCGAAGCCGAAGGTCCACAGCCGGGGCTTAGAAGCGCAAACAATATAATAATATAACTACCTAACGAACGAACGAACTAACTAGCTAACTAACTAACTAACTAACTAACTAACTAACTAACTAAATAAGTAAATACAGACATGAATACACATACATGTATATATATATATATATATACACACTTTTTTTATGTATGTATGTATGGATGTATGTGTGCAGGTATGTATGCATGTATGTATGTATGCATGTATGTATGTAAAGGTATGTATGTAAAGGTATGTATGTATGTATGTATGTATGTATGTATGTATGTATGTATGCATATATATATATATTAATTATATATATATATATATCTATATATATATATATATATATATATGGGAATCAAGCGTCGCAGTATTGGGACTCATGGGTTGTGGGAGTTCAGTGGTTGGGAGTTCCTTGTTGGAATTCATTTAGGGCTGACGAAGTTGGGTGGAATGGCTACAGGTTGGGTGCGTAAGGCCGGGACTGATGCAGTCAGAGTTTCCAAGATGTAAGAGTCTTGGCCCTCATTCATGATTCAAGGTTCAGGGTGCCAAGCACGGTTTATTGCAAAACGTTGGAGGACTACGGCGTTCGTCAGGCCGCTTGCCGTTGTCAATCTCACTAGCCAGTCTTGGTCGTTTTCGAGGCCGTTCCGGGGTCGCAGCGCCCTGGGCCACCCGGGCAGGCGACCACCGCAGCAAAGGCCCTCGGAACCTTGGGAGTAGAAGGGTGCTGTCAAGGTGAACTCGCTGTCGCTTCAGGGCTGCATCAATGCTGCCACAAGTATAATGTCTCGAAGCATATAAGCTTGTATGTCCAGGATAACCGCGTTGAACACAGGGCGTCTCGTCATGGGCCGGCAGGCGGCCATCGAGCTGCCGAAGGGCGTCGAGTGGCCAAAGGCCTGCAAAGCCTTCAACATGCAGAAAATCTTCCAATGGTGTACTGCCAAGCTGATAATGCTTACCCCTAGCTAGCCTCCTCTAAGCACCGCCATGATTTCCGCAAGACAGGCCGACAAAGCGCGGCGTGTGGCCGAAACAGTCTTCACGGACATGCGAAAGTCGGAGTCCACAGACTGGGCCGGACTTGAACAGAAGTTCACTTTGGCTCGAGTTCAGCGTCTCTTCTCGCGTGGAGTCGTGGGATTGCGAAGGCTCTGCTTTTTCTGGGGCCGCAGGCCGTAAAGCCTTACCCTAAACGTCAAAGCCGCTGATGCAGGAAACGTATAATTCCTGTGTAAAGGACCTGCTGACCTCCTCTCACAGACTTTGCCATGCCCTTCCCGATTGACTGCCACTGGAATCTCTGCTCCATGGTGCAGTAGCACAGTTGCAGCCCTGCTACTACGAGTGATGAGATGGTCGTCGCGACCAACCGATTCCAGCAAATTTACACTAATCAATGTCGTGCCGCAAAAATCTGAGCAAGAAAACTCGTAGCCACGAGACGACGATCGCACCCACAACATTGTTTCACATCTGTAAGGATCATGAGAGCAAGAACAGTGTCATCCAAGAGGGAGATCTAAGTCTCCACTCCTTGCGCTCGCCCCAGTTCCAGACAAGGTCCCAGAAGAAGCCGCTTTCCCATCGCCGGCGAGCGTACATGGCCGGGGCCCCTAGGATTCTTTGCCGAGCCCTGCTTGGAACCTTGTCCAGAGCGTCGGATTGTGGGCTCATTCGTGCTTGCCAGGCTGTTTCGGTGTAGTCGAGCATACCAGATTTCGGGACCGATCTAGGGTGGAGGTTTTGAGTCACTGAGGTTTGGAGATTCAGGGCCGGGGGAGTGCCCAAGTGTTAAGGGTTTCGGCTTTTGGTGTTTGAGGTGGGTAGCAGTGGAATGAGTCCAGAGTGGATCCAATAGAGGCAGCGTGCTGGTGCCCCACGCATCTTCACCTTGGATGCAAGGCTGCATGTCTCAGCTGGCATCCGGACAAGAACCTCAAGCACCAGGACCGCAATGCAGCCCCCATTGGCCTCCTTTTGGTGCAGTTCCCTGGTCCCAAAATGCCTGAGGACCCAAGAGTCCCAGCTTCAAAGGCTAAAAGGTCCTTGAAAGGCCCTAGACGGTCCGAGCGGAGCCGGGCCTCTCTGAACCATTCTGAGAAGCACTGAGCTGCTTTGAAAAGAAGCCGACAAAGCAACGCCTGCCCCCGAAGGAGGTCGCCACAGAAGTCTTCCAGTTCCTGCAGGCCGTCAAAGACTGGTATTTCGAGGCTCGGGAGAGCGGTTTCGGGTTTCGAGATTAGTCCTAGCCATGACTGCTCGAGGTGTGAGCCATCGCATCTCGGACACCAAGCTCTGAGCTGTGTTTGCCACTTCGTTAGGAGCAAAGCCCGCAAGGCTGGCTCAGGACTGGCGGATGGAAAGTTGAGACCTCCAGCCATATGCAGTTGTAGTTGAGCTATACTGATTCGTGTCGTCGTCACCTCCAACGTGTGGCCAGCCCTGGTGCTCTACAATAATTACGCACTCCGCTAGAGTCCGCTAGAGCTGTGCTCATTCTGTTTCATCCCTGAGGGTCGAAGACCGGCCTGTCGACAACATGTTGCAGGGACCAGTGCATGCGACACATTGGGAAGTTGAGAAGGATGCTTCGGGCGATCTTTCGATGTTGCAGATGTCAAGATCGGTGGACATGCATGTAATGTCTGTGCATGAGCATCTCAAGAGACACGCAAGAAGATCCAAGACGGAAAAGGCATCGTGGGATTAGGGAACATTGCTTAGACGAAAGGCACACGCGCAACCGGTGGCAGCATGCAGCTCTCCTGGTATAGCGAGCGGTGAATTCTTCGGCACAGCGGTTCGACGTCCTTAAGATCATCGCTGTGAGAGTTTGTTGCGTTTACTGTTGTAACATGTTCTTCGTTGCATACTGCTATCACTGCAAAATTTAACATCTCTGCGAGCATGGCAGCGCCGCTGGCAGAGCTGACAGGGCTGCGTGCAGTCGTTCCAAAGCTCTTGAACTTCCTGAAGGAGTATCACATGCAGAGTTCTGCACCTGAGTCGGACCAGCGAGTGCAGCAGCTACTCCGAAGCTCGGCTGTTGATCAGTCAGCTTGTCCTTGTTTGCCAGTGCCCCGCAGTGGGCCAGGTGGTTCTTTTCTTTTAGGGTTTGGCCAAGGGGTGGTTTGTCCCAGAGGCCGCTTCAAGACAAGACAGTGAGAAAGCAAGAAAGAAAGACGGACAGAGAGGGACAGAGACAGAGAGGAAAAGAGCATCACAGTCCCTTCAAAGCCCCATATCATGGGGGGCCCATGTGGCCGAGGGACCTTGACAGTCCCTCATGCCCAGTGGAAGAAGACAAAGAGCAAGACAAAAGACATAAAGAAAGACAGAAAGAAATAAGTATAGAAATAAAGATATAAATAAGGCTAGCGGTGAATAAAGAAATAACGACATAAAGAACGAACTCAAGAAAGATATCACGAAAGAAATACATAAAGAAAGACGCAAAGAAAGCGAAATAAATTAAATAAAGCAAGCAAGCGCGCAAGAAAGAAAGACATCACGAACTAAATAAACAAATAAAGAAATACATGAAGAACAAAGCACATAAATAACTTAGCAGAGGGATATATGATGAACCGAAATCGCCAAACGAGAGGGCATGTTTAAGATTAATGAAGAACCGAGGGGGCAAGTTGAATATATCTGGTGTACCGGAATCATCAAAAGAGAGGGGGTGCTTCAGATATATGAAGAGCCGGGGGCGCTTTAAAAGCTTTTGATGACTCGGAGTCGCCAGCACTAGGGGGGGCGTGAGATGTATGATGAGCAGGAACCGCCATGCAGAAGAAGCCCTCCAAGTTGTGATTCCCCGGACTTCCGTAGCAAAAGCAGAAACCCCTTAACGGAACTTCTCCAATAGTTTGCTGCATAAGAAGACACCGCACGTGGGACTTCACCCGATAAGCTTGCTGTAAGAGAAGACCCCGCAAATGGGACTTTCCCAGCGGCGTGCTGCATAAGAAGACGCTACAAATGGGACTGCCCCAATGGCTTGCTGCAAAAGTAGGTTCACGAATGGGGCTTCCCCAAAAGCTTGCTGCAAAAGTAGGTTCACGAATGGGACTTCCTCAATAGCTTGCTGCATAAGAAGACCCTACAAATGGGACTTCCCCAATGGCTTGCTGCAAAAGAAGACCCTTTAAATGGACTTGCCCAGTAGCTTGCTGCTGAACAAGACCCTCACACATTGGACTTCCCCGATGGCTTGCTGCAAATGCTCTGCAAGCCCTGAACCCCGCAGATTGTGAGCGAGTGAGACCCAAGTTTTCCGACAAGGAGATGTGGCGCAAGGCCGGAAGCGTGACGGAGCACTGGGAGCTGTGACTCTGTCGGAGGAGGCGGTGGAAGAGGCTATTGCTGCCTTCGAGGATCCACCGAGGGCAAGGGGTATTGTCGTTTCAGGATCTCCGTCGACGGCTATCGCCTTTGACTGTTTAGGGGAGCAGGCCGTTGAAGCCAGATGTCCCACACCTTGTACCGGCAGAAGGAGCTTTTGGAGTGCTTGACTTTCCGAAGAGAGTAGAGATCGTTCGTTCGACCTGCATGAACACATCTACTGCCAATATATAATATATCCACCACCGCTCAGCTTTGCGAACCAAGGCCCTGAAGCCGGAGCTCCCAAGCCCTCAACTTCGAAGCTGGAGGACTGGATGAGAGAAAGCCGGCCTGGCATGCCCTGCTCGTACTGGTCGAACCAGCACAAAGTTTACATCAAGGGCTTTGTGGGAGAGATGAGCCTTGGATGTTCTTGGAGTTAATTTACAGGCCGGGGAAACTAAGAAGCCTCTTTGCTCGTGCACCTACGATGAGTGGTAATGGTGCCCGCCTTAACGCAGATTTTCCATCACCGTGCTGCGTGCGTGAACCAGGGGCTCCGCTCCGGAGTGTACTTGAGTCTTGTCGATACAGGTAGACCCGGATGCTAATTTGTGTTGGAAATAGCCCCGCTTGCCGACGTAAATGATCTCATCGCTGTCTTCCTTTCATCTCTTGCCTCGCTTTTCGGCTTTTCGGCTTCAGCACGGACGACACATTTCATGTCTTTCAACCCTTGTCCGAGGGAAGGGGAGTACTTGAACGTAAATGCTTCGCCGCAGAAGGCCGCGGAGCGGAGAGTGATGGGAGAAGCGGAAAACGTCCGTCCCCTGGAAGATTCTGGATGGTATGTTCCGCCACTTCCAGAAGCAGCTGCCAAGTCTGAAGCGGTAAAGCAGACTCTGCACAGCGCCTTTGTGGCAGAACAGACGGCTTGCAATGTTTGATGCATGTGGCTGTCCGTTCAATCAATGTTTCGAGAAAGCTTGATCTTTTTTCAGGGTTTGCGCATGAAAAGCAAGACTAAATCCTGACTTAGTTAATTTCCCTGACCCTGACAGGCTCACAGATAATTTAACATGGTGAAGAATCTTAGCTGAAGGCGGACCGTGGAAAGGCGAAGCAGGGCAGCTAAGGAGTTAAGGCAGACTTCGATGGGCGGCAGTACGGCGATGAGTATTTGAGCCTCATTGAGGGTGATCTGCTGGAAAATCAAAGCTCGGAAGAAGGCTGGGAATGGGCCCGAATCATTCAACGCGCGAGCCCGTCCAGCCTTGGACCTACGGAGGGCTGGTACCCACCGAGCTTTGCCGAGCCCCTGAGCTAGCTTCCCGATGGCATCCAGCAGAAGATCGGTCCATCGAAGGCGAAGGCACTCGCCAGCGGGTTCAGGAACCGAATTTGGAAGCCTACTGGCAAAGCTGTCTGTGCCCCTTCGCCCAACCAAAACGTTATACCGAAGCAGCTTTGATCATGCCTCGTTTCTCTTTGCTGTGCTTCCCTCTTCAGCCCAGTCAAGTTGCACCTAAAGGCTTCCCCGTGTCCGTCTATTCCCGGAAGGCGGTCACGCGGAGAAGCCGGGCCATGTTCATCCAAATGAGCACTGGGATCCGTCGGTGGCCAAAGAAAGCTGTGCTCACTCGCACTTGTGGATGCGTTGAATGGAAACAGTGTTTGCTGGATCAGGGCCGAAGCAGCCGTGCTAGATGGATTCAGCATCATCATGAAGTTTCGGTTCCCCTGCGGGATCTTACGGGTGATCTTGGGATTTCAGTGGTTTGATGCGCCGTCGGTTTCTGTTGTTGCTTGCTTCCACGGTATCCCATGTCTGTGCAGCTAGATAGCTACATTTTAGCAGAACCGGGGCAGCAAGCACCAAGTGCAGAGGGAAGCTGGATGCTGTGGACCCAACTTCAGGCTCAAGCATAGAAGAAAGGTGGTGGTTCCTCCATTGCAACCATCTTTTCCACCAGAATAGCCATGGCTCTCAGGGAAGCCGACGGAACTATGCGCATCCAGAAAGGCCACTTCGTCTACTGGATGGATTCCGATAAGGATATTCCCAGAGGAGATCTCGGCTGGGTCAGTCTTACTCGAGGCTACGATGGTAAGATTGGAGTGCTTTTCCCTGCTCCTTGGCAGCAGATGGAGTGAGGGAGGCCCCAGAAAATTCAGCGAAAACGGAAGTAAATACAAACAAAAGCTGCAGCACACCAAGCTACAACCCTACAAAGATCTGCAAAGTACGTTCCTTCCAGCAGCAGCGCCTCCAAGCAGCGGCTGAAAGCTACGGAAACCCGTAGGCCCGGAGGTCCAAGCCTTCAGCTACGTCGAAAGGAGGAAGTCAGCGGAAAATTCAATCCTCATGAGCTAAGGGCCCGGATGGGATCAGACCACATCCATGGCAGGGCGACTTGTCACATGAGAATCTCTACAAATCCTGGTTCCAGAAGCTGATGTGGGTTCATGTTGCCGATGTGCCGGGTGTGCCATTCTCGGACATTGGCTACGTGTACGATGCCGGGCTGACTTTGTTTCCGCCTTTGTGCTTCCTTGAGGGCAATACTAATGGGAAAGGACGGTCGTGTTTCAACTGAACCTAAGTATCTTCGTTCAGCAGCAGTTCAACTTTACAGCCTTTTTGGTGCGGGCGCTTGGCATCAGTGGCGGAGGAATACGGCGGAGGAGACGTGCAGGTGACGATGAAAGAGGCGCTGATTCAAGCACCGCCGGAAGCCATCCACCGATGCGACTTCCAGCATCGCTCTTGGGTGCACATCCTGGATCACCCTGAAAGCGATCTCGTGAGCTTTGTGGGCACTTACATGAAGAGCGGCAAGGTTGTTGCGTACTATGGCCTGCAATAAACAACTATTTCAACGCCGTTTTTGCTGGATTAAAGGGTGGGGGAGTAGTGAGTCTAGTAACTCGAGCCCCCTAAACCGGAAACCCCCAAAACCCTAAAACCCATAAAACCCCAAACCCCCCTACGCCAGGTACAGCCCGTCGGGGAGGTGCGCCGAGTACGAGACCTGGCAGTTGGCCCTGGCGCGTGTGCAGGAGAAGTCATGGGTGCTCTCGGACAAGGGCGAGGTGACTCGAGGGGTGAGGGGAGTACTACAGGGGCCGAAATAATTACCGGTACGATTCTGAATATAGTATAGTGTACCACCTATATTAGGGTGATTAGGCTGTTGAAGGTTTAAGGGTTTGGGGCTTGAAGGTCTAGGGGTAGAGCTGGTCTTATGGACATTGGCCTCGTGAAGAAGTGTTCATGTTCCCTGGTGCTGATAGTTTTTACGTGCTGTACTAGGCCGCAAGCTACTCTATCTGTCAAAGAGGTCATCGATTTCCCTTAGGCGCCTATGCTGCAGAGAATAACCTCGACCTGCAAAGCCGAGCAGGTGGGTGTTGCCAAGGATGATGATAAAGGGAAGATCGTCGTGCGTTTCCCAAGCAGCGGCCAAGAGGATCCGCCAAGGACCATGGTGTACTTACAGTCGCTAAAGTGATACGAGTTTTATGTGGGCCTTTCCTTTTGGATTGCGCTGGCTTGAGGAAACCTTCATGCCGAAAGAGCTCAAGTTGTCCCCCATCCAACAAAAATTGTTTGTCACCTGGACGGGTCATGACGACGATGTTCCGGCGACTTGGCTGTTCTTGGGAAGGCGTTTCTGAATTTCTGTTGGACGGTATGCATTGTCCCAGCTGTGGCTTGGAGCATTCAAGGAAGGACATGTGGGAGAGGTCTATGACCTCAAAATGAAGACTGCCCGCATCAATGTCCGCTTTCCCAAAGGCCGGCACCGTCCTCCTTGTCATGCCTTTGTAGCCCCTGGGCTTCGGCCTGGCGGCCTTGCCGCCTTACCTGGAGAGTCCTGAGAGTAGCATTCCCGGAGCCTTCCCATGTGTGCAACTGGAAGCGAGAGAACCTCTGACCGGAAAAAGCTTGAAGGCCTCAGGAACTGGTCAAGAACGGAAGAATTGATCTCTCTGCGACCCGCGAAGGCCTTTAAGCCTTTAAGTGTACCACGAGCCCATGGTCCTCAGATGTGTACCCGATTATTGCATTCCTGACCCGCTCTCCTCTATCTGTCATGGCCGTGTCCGAGCTTCTTCATTGAGTTGCAGGTAATGGCAACCGTGCCAAAACATGACAATGGTTGTGCAAAATATCCAGCTTCTGAATAACATGAAACCGGGTCTAGGGCTACCACAAGTGAACATAAGGGTTATCATAGGGTTGAGTTAGGGGGGGTTACTGTAAGAAGGACGATCCATGCAGCAGCTTGAGGGCCTTCGTTTCGGTCAGAGCGGGAGCTGTAAAGAACGAGCCATTGGATTTCAGAGGTGCTCAGATGTTATCACCGTTATGAGATTGTCAAGGTTGAATAAAACGACTCTGTGGCGACACCTGTCCTGCTGTTTCTCCGTCAAGTGATTGGGACTTCAAGGTCACGGAGCTAGCACCTCACAGGACCTCCAAGCCATTGCAGAGACGGTCATAGCGACAGGGTATCGATAGTCATGTTATGTCATGCTACAATACCAGCAAGCGGCAGGGCGGTAGCGAGCTTGTGCGGTGCTGCAGTAATTTCGATGTCCATAGTTCCAAAACATATTGCAATATCGTGTAATATTATCGTATAATGTAATATAAGGTTCTAGCGTAGTGAATAATATAATACAGCACACTGTAATATAGTGGAATGTAGTCATATTCGAGTAGTTAAAATTTACGACCATTTTATAACAAGTATAACAAGAGATCGATTCTGCATGCAATATATCCTACTATATCATAACATGATGTCCTAAATTTTTCTGTCCATAACATAATGTAATAATAACATGGTTTAATACAACAAGACAGATCATGCATTATGACCCAAAATTATATAGTCTGATATGATATATGGTGGGTATAGTATGATGGATTATCGTACAAAAACGATAGCTTCACAAAATCGGTCATAGCACAATGTCTAGTCGTTTAAAATAGTGCAATACAGTATAACATGTAATAACATAACACCACGTCATACAATATAACATGATATGTATAATACAGGTAGCTTTATGCAATACGATAATAATGTTTGCATATAATGTGATATAACACACTATAGCCGACGACAATGCGGTTTACTGAAACATGTCATGATATAACACATTAAGAGCATCCAGTATTACGTGCAACACAGAACATATAAGATACATAGATAGACAAGTTCAAGACACACACACACATACATTTATGCATGCATACATACGTATGTCTATATATATATATACACATGTATCGTATACATGTATTGTTTCATACTATCATATACATCATATATCATTTAACATATAGTGTAAGATGACATACGGGCAATATAGTATATTGTTGAGTATAATGTATAGCACAATCACTTCTAATGTAGTATGCAACCGCGTGTATACTACAATGTATACAGATAAGGTAAGTTGAGTTAAGATACGGTATGTGAGAAATTTTTGTACATTCAAAAATGCAGGCTCCAGCCCGGGAAGTACGTTTGGTGGAAGTCATCGGATGAGGACATCCCTGCAGGTCACATCGGAGAAGTGATCAAATTGACACTTGGCACTCAACATGACTGTACTTCGAATAGTGAAATCGATAGCATCGCAAGGGTCTGTAGCGAGGATACACCCAAATACGGAGCAAGGCTGTAAAACAGAAGTCGTATCACTAGGTTCTTTTCTATGAAGTGCTACGCAATGCTATGCTGTGATAGTCTTCGCTGTGCTAAGCCGAGCTATGCTACACTATGCTACGGGTATGCTTGTGTTGCGTTGTGTCGTGCGGAGCTGCGCTGTGAAGTGCGTGCGGTGCGGCCGGGTGCAGTGCTGCGTTGTGTCAACCATTGGCTTGTGTCATACGAGCTTCTTCTCGGGTCTGTTCTGTCATATCAAGTCATGGCATGTACTGCTATGTTTCATGAGCACAACAACGTGGCATAGCTTAACATGGTACCATGTTGGGTGAGCATAGTGCGCTGTTGGGTTATGCTATGATATGTCCTGTGGGTGCGTCTCTGTCTGTCTGTCTGCCTGTCTGTCTGTGCGTTTCTGTCTGCGCGTGTGTTCATGCATGCAGGCGGGCGGACGGGTGGGCGGGCAAGCACGTACGCACGGTTGCATGGGACGCGCCGACGGACGGATGAACGGACGGACGGACGGACGGACGGATGTGCATGCGCTCCATCTGCGTATGCGCACCATGGCTGACTGAGGAAAAAGGATCAGATCGCTGTTCAATGGCCGAAGAGCTGGTGGAGCATGAAGCCTGACCGATTGGTGCTGCTGCCGTTTCAGAGAGGCATCAACCGGGCTCAGCATTGAAAAAGCAGCAATGGCTTAGAGGCTGACGAGTCAGAGCCTTGTAGGGTCCAAGTCGAAGCCTGTGGAGTGAGTATTCTGTAGGAGTATAGGAGTAGGCCATAGTAGGCCAGAGAGCCGTTTCGCCATGTGTAGGAAAGGGCGCCATTCATCCAAACCCTGCGGCCTACCCTGTGCAGGCGATCGAGTCACGTGGAAGAGCCAAAGCGCCGATATCCCTAAGGGTACCATCGGCACGGTCATCAGCATTTGCTATCACCGTAAGGCCAGAGGGGAGGAGAGTATGACTTTGGAGAAGAAGATGTTTTTCTGATGCCAGTGCGCAGCACTTCTGTTATCTGCAGCGTTTGCAAGGGCTCTGGCAGCGGGTCTGCAAAGAAGAGCGAAGAAGCAGGTTTATCTTAGATCCGCAAGGCAAACACCCTCGCAAGCACCGAGCTCGAAAAGCAGGGCTTACAGTGCGCACGTGTAAGGCTCTTACTTCTGTGGAGGGCTCAAGTCTTGTTGCATATGGTGTTTCGGGCGTACGCTCCGAGACGGACGTCTTTAGGGTCAGGGGCTTGCGCTTCCTCAGGCTCTCTTGTTGAGTGCCGCAAGGCCCGATTCGCTGCGGAGCGCGAACTGGAATACGCAGAGCATCAACCGCTTGAAGGCAACCTCTTGCTGCATCTGGCACTTGCAGTGACTTCATCTGCTGCATTGTTCGGCATGTGCGTGCAGTCGTGTGGCATTCTCTAGGGTTACGTAGTACGCTGCAGAGGAATAGACGGCCCCTTGGTTTGCGAGTCGCCAGCATGACGGGACGTGCCGTGAAGGCGACCTTCGGCCGCTTCGACCGGAACGGCGACGGCAAGATCTCCGAGGATGAGTTGGTCTCTGTTATGTCGAGTTCCGTGGCCCCGCATTGCTTCATGGGGGCAAGCCGCCTCTGCTCAGCCATTGTCCCGACTGCTTCGGCAGGGAAGCGTACTCCTGTCAACGTGTACTCCCGTTGTTGTTTGGCCTGAGGTGCAATGCTTGTGTGTGTTTCCTCAGCGGTTACAACTGTATCTCTGCAGAAAGGAACGCATCCCGAGTTGTTTGTGACTGCCTCGTGCATGCACAGCATACCGCCTTTCTCGGCCATATCATTTCGCATGCCGCTGCTTCTGCTGCTGCTGCTGCTGCTGATGATGGTACCAGTAATGGCAGCGGTGAATGATGGTGATGCAGCTAATCGTGATGAGGATCGTGGTGACGATGACATTGATGATGATGATGATGATGACCCAATAAAGTGTGAGCAGATGTTTGAAACTACGTACTTGGGGTCTGCATACCTGCTCGTTAGCCGTCGTCTTGACAATGTTTAGAAGTCCATAAACGACCGCAGAACCTGACATGATGCAAGTGATCTTATGCATCTAACGCATCTATTCGTCTGTCTGTAGCTGCGTGTGCGGGCGAGCCGAGCGCGATCATAATGATTAATGACTCGTAGTGTTTCCCCGTCCAAGGCTTGGGCGACTTGTCTGAGAGCGAGTGCCGTGAACTCTTCAAGACCCTCGTCTCTGGGCTGCAATCTGATGGGAAGCATCCCCTTCTGGCCTTGGTACCAAGCTCCGTACATGTTCCACACAGCCAGCTCTGGAAGTAGTTCTGTCCAAACAAACCCTAAGAATCTCACGGTTTCACAGTCACAGCCCGCGCGTTGCACCGTCCGTGGCGGGGTTCGGAGAAGTTTCAAGCAACCCTTTCTTAAAACTACGACCCTCAGTGACATGACGGACCACAAGGACAAGGATGGCAACGGCAAACTCTCTGTAGCAGAGTTTGTGGACTACGTATTCGAGGATGAGGACCGCTACGACGGCGAAGGCCTTGCAAAGCCCCCTGGACTTTCTAGTGGCTTCAGGGATCGTAGGAGTTTAAGTCTACGTGTTTGGCTAAGTCTTGAGGATCTGGAAGCAGCTCCTTGAGTGGTAGAAATGTGTTGATGAACGCAGTGTTCAATGGTTTTGTGGGATGGTGATACTTTGATCTGAGCTTTCAGGTATGAGAGTGGTCTTGTGGTAAGCGCTTCATGGCCGAAAACGCACGGGAGCATTCAGAGCCGTGAAGCCGTTCCTAAATAGTTGGCCATACCGCCGACGGCCCAAGCCTTACGCAAAACTTCCCAGCTACCTGTTCCTGAAACCATGGGTGCCTTTGCTTACGCGCAATGCATGCTCCTGACCCTGTTGGGAGCATACCCATTCGTAGCCATTTTGTTGAAGGAGAACCCATCATCCGATTTCATTGGCTGTTCTGAAAGCGGCCAGTGCATATTCACTCGTTTCTTTGGCAGCCCGGGTGTGCCTGCAACATCCCTCAGAAACATTGAGCTCAGCACCGACGATGCACCTGGCTCAGGGTCTTTGGGGGAGAAATTGGTGCTCACATTCGTGTCAGTTCAGAATGGACAGAAGTTGGGTGCGGTAAGTCCGGCATGGTCCTTCACAACGTGGCCGGCTTTGGTCTACCACTTGATAGTCGAGGTACTGTCTGTCGGCTTTAGGGGCGAAGGGAAGTTCCCCAGCCCTGAGCATGTGACTCAAGAGTATTGCAGCGACCCTGCAGTCCGGGACCAGCTTGAGAACTCACTGAAGCAAGGTATTTCAAGGCTGGTTTACCTTGTGGGCGTGATAGGCTGGGCGATATTAAAATCGCTCATGATTGGGCCTTGTTGTCGGGCGTGCCAGAACAGGTGACGCTGGTTATCGGAATTGCTTCATGGGTATCTCAAGCACTCGCATTCACAGCATCCTTTATATGGAGTGCTGGTGCCATTGGAATTTTCATATCAATGCCGAAAGAGAAGGGACTGGAGCATGCTGCATGCTATTACCAGCTGGAAGATTCTGAAGTTCTTGTAACGTTGATCCCTCCGTTCCTTCTGCTGGTTGCAACCATCATGAAAAGAAGCAGCCTGTACCTTTCAATTGTGCATGGAGACTACTTGTATGGAGTGGCATATGATGTGCCGTTCAGAGTTGTTCGCTCCACAGCTCCGTCGCGTCCAACGGGATCATTGTTGACCGGCACGGAGACCCAGACCTTCCAAGTGCCCCACATCCAGAGCTCTCTTTCTAGGCTATGGACAGACTCGCTTTTTGGCTTAAGGCGGCATCGTGGCCGTTTAGCATTTCGATTTGGGGCATAGTTGGCATTGCAGTGGGCCCTTTATTCCGCAGACTGATCGCTGTGACCATCGCCACGGAATGGTCTTTCAAGCTCTTGGGTGCCATTAAGTTCTCAACAACCGTCGCATCTTGTGCTCCTCTGGTGATGAGTGTCTACCTGGCCGTCAAGACCGTCAAGGCGCACAGCGGGAGTTGCCTCAGGCTTGTTGTCAGTGACCCTCTTTGGTTCGCCTTGTCCGGCATCCTGTCGACCGTACACTTGGCTCCAGTACTGCTGGGTCAGCAATGCAACCCTCTTGATGAAAGTTGGTTGTGGTCCTGTCATGGCATGACGTTGGCTCTGCTTGGGCTATTCAGCATGGGGCATCTTCTCGCCCCGACACGCGTCCTCCATGAGCTCCGCAGGCTAACAGCAGCTTCGACTATGCCCTTCGAGCGGCTTTCTAGCTATGAAATGGAAAGAGTGAAGGCATATCCGGAGTGGCAGCTCCAGGCTCACGTGAGATTTGTGAAGAGGAGTCCCATCGGAAGTTGCCAAGTCCTAAGGTCAAAGATGGAGAAAGCGCCTTCGCTCTTGCGGCGAGCAATAAACTACCGATCGAATGCATTTATCGCCGCCGAACCTGGTCTCTTGTGAGCCAAACCTGCTGCATGCAAGCTTTGGGAGGTCTTTCCAAGCTTTGCTCATCCATCGCTGTCAGTCGATAGGTGGAAGCATCCATCACAGTCAGTCAGCCCAGCACAGCCCAGGCAACTTGGTATGGAGAAGCCACCGACGCCTATTTCAAAGCCGCAAGAGGAGGCTCCGCCTGAGGAAGGCTCTGGAGGCTTCATGTCCCAAGTGGGTTCCTTCTTTGGGTTTTGAGAGCCAGATGACAGCCATTCCTTGCGCCATTCGATCCGCCTTTTTTGGCAGAGCGACCGGCAACCGGATCCGATTTTCCAAAGGAAGGCCTTGATAATTTCAGGCGCACGGAAGGGACGGTCCAAAGCCTCCTCCGGGTGTAGGTTTTAATGCCGATAGGCGTTCGGCATTTCTATCTGCCAACTGCCAACTACTTATCTACAGATCTATATCCTTATCCTTTGATTCTCCGTTAAGTTGCTCTGTGTATACATGCATGCACGCGGATACAGGCAAGGATATACGTATGTCGATGTCAATGGTAATGTCTGTTTGTCTGGTGTGTCCGTCCGTCCGTCAGTCCGTCCCTCTTCCACCACACTCCATTTGGGGTTATGTGTTATTAGCAGGGGGGGAGATGTGTGACGTACGAGGCCGGGAACCCAGAACGGAGGCACACTTCTTCTAACACTGTAGCATCGATCATTGTCCAGCAGGTGTGTGAACCCAGCTCCCCCGATACTGGGACGGCATTTGAAGCCCGGGACGGTAATGATTTGAAGCATGGAGATAGGAGTTTTGCTCTGGTTTGAGATGTTTTCCCTTTGTGGGACCCAATGCGAAATGGCAAGAGTGGAAGGAGTTTACGGGAGAAGTATGAGGTCTATTGGGAAGATTGGTGCGAGGCATTTTGACGGCATTTTGGGTGTGTAAGAACACACGGCACGACAAAGGGAAAATATTTCAATTTATAGTATTCAAGCCATCACCTTGAGGGCACACCGTCCGTCCGTCCGTCCGTCTGTCTGTCTATCCGTCTGTCTGTCTGTCCGTCTGTCCGTCCGCATGTCTGTCTGTGCGTCTGCAATCGTATGTACGTATGTATGTCTGCATCCATATATGCATGTAGGCATGTATGTGTCTGCATGCATTCATGTATCAATGCACGCAGTGTACTGTATGCGGTGTCTGCAATATGTATGTACGTGCACAAGATGTGCGGGGTGTGTGTGTGCGTGCACATGTATACATACACATGGACATAGACATAGACACACACACGCACATTGCGTGTGTCTGTGTACGGGCCTTTCATGCATTCACGCCTGTCTCTGCAGACATTGCTGTTCAGTGGTTCTACGTACATATGTATCTCGACGTGACATATCTGTGCATATGTCCCACAAAATTCGTGTAGGATGCTTCTTCGATTTGTTTTGTACATGAGGCACCACATCTCGGTCTTGTGCTAGATGTGTAGCACCATCAAAGGAAAATGTCTCAACAAGTTTTTCCCCTAATGACGTCACACAGCATTCCATAGTATCTGCAGTTCAAGATGCACAAGGTTACAACATGAACACAAGACGTCACACGACGAAATACTCTATGCATTCAGACATGCCGTTGCCTTTACATTGTATGTACACGTAAATACAAGCACGTACAGCTTTAACTTCACGTGGCACTGCTTCGTACCTCATGCAAGTGCATTTGGAGTGTTCTGCATGTATACTCATAGCTAGGCGTGCGCACGAAGGAAGGTGCACTCACAATACGGAAACTGTACATGTAGAAACGTATTTATATACATGGTGTATATGTGCGCATTTAAGTATGTACAGTATACAAACAGCTAGATTTTGTTCCATGTAGTGTATGCCACGTGGTTTCAATAATATGTTTGCATTGAGAATTGTCAAAATTGAAAGCAGGGCGCATATGTATGTCTGCTAATTAGTGAGAACATATGTCGTGTACACCGTATCTTGTGCTTAGTTTACGGGCATGTTGTCGGCAAGATAGTCTTGCCTGACACCAGAATATCCCCAGCGCGGAAACCGACTCGGGGATGCAATTCGGGTTGGTGCGTTGGTGCTGAGCTCGTGTGGGTCTTGCTATGTGCAAAATACCGGGCAGGCATCTTGGAGTACCTTACTGCACAGGTTCCAGGATGCAGTGGCTGTCCTGAGCGCTTCAGCGCTTGGATTGTACCTGTCTTGCAGGGCGACTTTTCCAGCAAGCAAGCCTTGACGTTTGTCTTGCAGCCATGAGCCACGCTGCAGGAAGCGTCAAGCATCCAAGGATTGATTCTTTAGTGCAGCCAGCAGCTCCCTACAAGTAGCTGTTTGCCCTCGACCACGTAGCGATCAGCCCACCATATAGCAGTCAAAGTCGAAGCTGGTGTCAGATCTTTGTGCAACGTCGGTATAGGTAGTTGCGACCAAGAATGGCGTACTGTACGCTGTCGTGATGGTGGCAGCCGGCCCGGCGGATCCGATCTCGGGTCTGACGCTGGATGCGGCTGATATTCTCTTGTTGGCCCGCTGGCTGAATTCATACGTAATACCTCATGCTGAGTGGAAATCAGGGGGTGTGGAAGACAGTTCTAAGTGTGCGCATCGCGCAGAACCCAAACTGCCCAGTGCCTGCGCATGGCTTGCCGAAAAGTGGAGGCCTGAGGTGTAGTGGGCTGGAAGCATAGCACAGGAAAGCGTAGTTTCCAGGCATTTCTGGAGTGAACATAGCTGAGGTCAGCTTGCTGGTGCGGCCCTTAGTTCCCGTCCTAATCTTGTTCCAGCTGCGACCTTCTCCGACGGATCAGAAGCACTCGCGTAGACTGGAGTGCACTTCCTGGCCTCCCCCCGGCCGCGCCGCGCACTGTCTGCTCTGCTCTGGCTTAGGGGCCTTAATGATTAGAATAGGGTTCCTCCTTTAGAGGGATCCTTAAAGGGTTCTATAGGGATACCATAAAGGGTTTAGGGTTTAGGGTTTGGGGCTTACTAGGGAAGAACACTTCCAAACCTGAAAGCCCCATGAAGTTCTTGAACCATGGCCCACTCCTTGAACACCCGGGAAAGAGGCCATCACACTTGTGGTGAACAATGTCATTCAGAAGCAGTCCTGGCCAATTCCGGAGGCGCATCATATACATACATATTGATACAAACATGAATGAAACACATACATCATATATACTTATATATATATGTATAGGTATGTATGTTTATGTACATGTCTATGTATATGTACATGCAAATGTACACGTACAGGTATATGTTTATGTACATATATGTGTACGTATATGTGTATGCAGGTGTGTGTATACATATGTATATGTGCCCCGGTGTACCTGTTTGGTTATGGTATGCCGGCTGATACAGGGCATTTGTGCGGGTGCATCGTACATCCTGTTATATATATACACATATGCACACATACCTGCCTTCAGATAAAGGTATATGGGTTGTATGCACACAATTTTCGTCTTTGAGAGCCCTGCGGCTGCTCAGTGTTGGGTGTGGCCATCTTACATCTTATCATGCTGCAGTGAATGCTGTCATACTACATTGTACTTTTCTCTTTTGATCTTACGTGCTCTTGTATTGCTGAGGAGAAACAGGAAAGACCCTAAATGTGGATCCCACTTGGCCTCGACTTGTTGCAGCTTTTTGCGAATTCCAACATGTACTACTTCTTGTAGTGACAGAGTAGTAGGACTTGTTACCATGTTCCTTTGTCCTTGCACTCTTGCTCCTCCTGTTCTCACTGGCAGGTGCTTTCCCGCATCGCCACGTCTACGACTATTCAAACCACAGCTATGATGCTGCTTTAGGAATAGTTTGTGAGTGCTTCGCATTTTGGCCACCATGCTGCAGATTGCTGCTATTACGCTTGGGCGTCACCGTTTTTGTTCTGAAGCACAGTCGTGTGCGCAGCAACACGCATTAGCAACGCACGGCACAGCACCGCGGCCCGACGCTCCAAGCACTTGCCCACCCCCAAGACGCACACCCATGCAGGCACGAGCTCGGAATTTATCAGGTTCTGGTTCCACAGTGAGAACTTCCTAAGGGAGGCAGAATCAGTTGTGAGAGTTGGAGCTCTCGATAGGTTGATAGCAAGTACATGTAATACAGCATGAAGGAACCAAGCATATGTATACAAACACGTGTATGCACGCATGGGTACACATGTACAACTGCGTATGGAATAAAAAATTGTAGACACATGTATGTAAAAGTACCTGTAGATGTACACGTTCATGTGCATGTATACGTATAGGTATCTGAATATGTATATGTGCATGTCTTGGTATAAGTATACGTATTATGTATACAGATATATACATGTACGGATACATGCACATGCACACACACACACACTGACAAAGATTCACATCTACATAGAAACGTGTATGTATATGTTATATACATGTATGTAGTGTAATGTTGTGTCATGTCATGCTATTTTATGTTGTGTCATGTTATGTCAGATTAGTTATGTTATGTTTTGCATGCATGTATGCATGTACGCAGATATGTAGGTATGTAGGTAGGTAGGCATGTATGTGTGTGAGTGGGTGGGTAGGTAGGAAGGAGATGGAAGGAGGTGGGTAACGATGAACGATATATATATATATATATGTATATATATATATATATTATATATATATATATATATTTGTTGTATATATACATATATATGTATATGTATATGTATAGTTATCTATGTATGTGTGTATGCACATGGTGTGAGTGTGTCCGTGCGCATGTTCGAAAAATCAAGTAGCCCGTTTGAGACGTCAGCAATGCACAGGGCCAAAGCTGCAGCAATAACGTCAGTCGGGTTGCCAGCAGTTGCCACACGTCCCCCCACGTTTTTGGTGATCTGCGGCGTAATGGTCAAAGAGCATTCTGAGTACTGCATGTAGTGTCAGCTGAAGCAAGACCTGCAATATGAACGACAGTAGTCACTTAGCTCGTCAGCACACCCGTAGCACAACGAAAATTAAGAATTTGAAACCCTCGTGGCAACATGACTATTTCCGATCTGAAGCTGACACCTGCAGAGGCCATCTCAACCATTCTTGTGGGGATCGGCCTGGGTGCAGTGGCCGCGGCATTTCCTGAGGTGTGCCTGCAACTTCCGGGATGGGCGGGCTGCAGACATGATGTATGTGTGTGCGATTTCTGCTGTTCGGGCTCGTACATTGGTCTGTTGCGCAGGTGGAAGTTCGAAAACCCAATATCACAAAGGCAATCGGCGAGGGTTTGTCCAACAGAGGAAGAATGCGAACTGGGACGTTAAGGGTCAATTTGAGCCAACATCATCTGAAACCCAAAAGCCACCACTTTTGTATGAAATCGCGGACTCCTACAAGCCTTCTTGCTGGAATGTCTTGACAGTGACAGTATCTGAGCGGCCTGAAGCTTTAACAATGAAAGCCGGCACCGGAGCAGGTAAATCGCAGTACCTTTCAGAAGCTGGAGGACATGTCTGCCAGGCAGTTTATGCGACCTGTCATGAAACCTCTGCGTCGGGATCTACTCTGGCATCAAAGGTCCAGCATCATTTTGCCCAGAAGGTGCCCTTGCTTCGAGAGGCTACGCAGACGGCGAAGAGCCAGGGACTAATGTAAAAAGCTACTATATACTATACTGTGTGTACATATATATATACACACATACATATACATATATATATATATATATCCGCTCTCAAACTGTCACTCAACGAATCAACGAACCTCAGACCTAGATACATGTTGCCTACTCGTCTGCATCCGTTTTGACACTAGCCCATGCCTTTGCCCTGCCAATCCTATCTTGTTCACAGTTTCACGGCCCTCGGTTGGGCCCCACACTCCACAGCTCGAAGGCTTCGGCTTCGATTCAGTGCTTGATGGCCCAGTTGTAACTATGGCAATACTTGTAGCTACCGAGCCCGGAGAGCCGTGCCGTTTGTCAGCCGTTTTCAACGCAAGCTAAGGCTGGTATTCATCGCCCCCATCATCTTCGCCGAAGGCTACGGGATGAAGAGCCAACAGTTCTTCGACAATATCACCCGCACCCCGGCCGAATTTTAGTCAGCTTCTTGTTCTTCTAGCAGGGCCGCTGTTCTTGTTTTTACTGTAAGCGCTTGGAGTTGCCCTCCTCGAGCCGATTGGTTGCTCGACGGTTGTTTCAACAAGGGCGGAGGGAGGGGGTGGAAGCTGCGATCTCCAAATCGTCAATGCCGAGGAATTTTGCTGCACGCGTTTCTGGGCACGCTGATTTCGGCTCTTGCCACGCACTCAGGCTTTGAGCAGTCATGTCTCGATCTCAAGAAGGTGAAGACCGAAGTTCTCCAGCCCTTGCCCCTCTCCTAAAGCGACTTTGGGGGTGTAGGGCTTCCTAGGGGCAGAGCAGCCCCCGAACGAAAAAGAGCCACAGGTCGTGGCGGTCGCCATCTTTTACCTTGTGCCACTGACGGGAGCCTTGAAGCTGGAGCTTTCGGAGTGCCTCGCCTTTGGCACCTCGTCTCCACCTATGCTTTGTCACATCAAACTGGAGGTTCGACGTGCAATGACCGTTTGCGCATGCCGGATGCTTCAGGGCGTTTCTTGAAATCTCCAGGGCTCGAAAGGTCCACCCGCAGAGATCCTCCTCTGTCTTGCTTTCAAACCCAAACCCTCTCGGGCCTCAGACTCCAAAACTGCTGAAAGCCAAGACAAAAAGCCCCCCAAATTCTGCAAGAAGTGGGGCCCAGTGGCCAGGAGCCATGATCAGCTCCACGGACCCGGCGCCCCGGCTCAAAGGGAGCATGTTCCGAATTTTGCTCTCTGACGTTGTTTAAGATCTCGGATAGGTGGTGACAGACCTTGCTGTCCGAAAGGGGGTCAAGGGACTTGGAAGTGGGGGACGCCTTGAGAAGGTCTTGGTGGTCTGTGGAGGAGGCACAGAAGAACAAAGGCTTCTGCACGCAACGGGCAAGGGTTGTCTCTTTGATGAGCAATCCGGGTGTGTAGATGAGACTAGTGAAGTCGACAAAGCTTGCATTGCACAGGGCTGCCTCCCCTGACCTTCCCGAAGCGCTTGGGCTGGGGCAAGTTTTGCTCAGGCCGTGGCTCAAATTGCAGCGCCTCCCAGGTTTGAATCGCGCGGATCATTGATCCCACGATTGTGCCTCCCAACCACGAGAGTCAGACGCTGCCCCGATTTCCTGATTGAAGCTACGGAGAGAGTTTACACTTCCCGTTAAAGAACGACGATGTAGTGTCCCCTAAACCTTAAACCCAGAACCCTAAACCCCAAACCCTAGACCTTAAACCCTAACCCCTAAACCTTCAACCCTAGACCTTAAATTGAACCCTAAACTTTCTCCTCAGGTCACCACACTCGCCATCTTTAAAGAGCAGTCGCTGGCAGAAAAGGGCCGCGGCCCCCTCTACTACTCAGCTCTCGGCCGGCAGTGCAAGCGGGTTAATGCCTTAACGGTTTAGGGGTTTAGAGTTTAGGGGTTTAGGGATTTAGGGTTTAGGGTTTAGGGGCGCTATATAACACTTCGCCTCCTGATCTTCCCTGTCCCCTTGGTCTCAGAGAATTAGAGACGATAATTTTCAATCCTCCGAAGTTCCTCCGTCGGGAGGACGGGGGACTCTTTTCAGCAACGAGAGTAGCATGTCTGTAGAAGCTCGTGATGCAATCGCCACGCTGGGCCTTGAGTCTCAACCCTCAACCCGGCAACCTTGAACCTGAAACCCAAAGCACCCTGAACGTCAAGCTTCAGACCTTCAGCTTGGACCCTAAACCCTAAACATCCCTAGACACTCTAAGAGAGCAACTTAGGTTTTAGGCGAGTCTATCCTGAACGATGCTGTGGCTATCGCCCTCTTCGGCAGCTTCGCCGACCTGGTTCGCTCCGGGGAGGCCGAAGGGGGGGGTGACGTTCAGAGCTGTATCTATATATATATATATGTGTATATATATATATATGTATATGTATATGTATATGTATATGTATATGTATATATACATGTACAT